TGCCACCCCCATGGGGAGGACGGCCGGGACCCCGGGGCTCCTCTGCCCAGCGAGGCCTCCCCTTCACCCAAAATATCTTTGTTTCCTCTAATGGGTAACCAAGAGCTTCTGCACGGGGTCCGGGGGCTTCCTACGGGCCGCTGGAAGGGGACATCCCCTGCTGCCACCACCCCCGCTGTCCCAGCCCGAGGCGTGTGCGGAGGTTTACAGATTTTCTAAAGCTTTTGATAATGTGAAGCTCCTGGGTGAAGAGGGTGGTGGTGAGAACACTGCAGCTATGTAATTTTTTTGTGTATGTATGTAATATTTAAGGGTAACAAAATTTAAAAGGCTAAAACCTTAAAAAAAAATTAAAAACACACAAAAAAAAAGCCAAAGCATGATGCATATTGTTAGCCTTAAAACTGGCTACATGACTGTGTGATGTATAAATAAGAGCAGCCTGTAACTGTTTTAAGTGCTGGGGTTGGGGAAGAAGCATAACAAAATCAGTTTGTAGCCTTGATTCTGTACAGTATTTAAATGAGAAAAAAAAAGACCTGACTATTAAGGCCATGCTTAGAGGTGTGTTGTTCACGTGCAGATGTGGATGCTTGGTTGCTTACGATATATGTATAAAGTGCTGTGTGACCATTAAAACTTTTTTTACCTGCAGATTTTTTTTTGTTTGGCTAACCAAGGTGTAATAAAGGAGGGAAGATGACTTGCCATTAAATTTTGCCTCTGTGAGTAGCTCCGAGTGTTGTCTTTTTTCTCCTTTCTTCTTGCCTGCCCTCAGCTCCTGCCTCACCAGCTGCTGCCGCTCGCTCCATTTTTACACCTGCCTCGATGCCACGGGGGAAACAACTTTATTTTGGGCCTGGGATCCTGGCTGCTGCCTCCCTCCCTCCCTGGCCTGAAAATACCCGTGTCCGGCTGCCAGCTCCAACAAACAGACTCTTCTTCCCAACGGGGCCCTCCTAATTGCAGAGTCTACAGCAGAATAAAGGCAATGAGCAGCTTGTACTCACCCGCTTTGGACTCGAGCGCTGCAAGTGAGGTTTAACTGCTGCTATTTTATCCTAAAAAGGCTGAAGAGGCCTCTCAGGGATGTGCACAGGGTCTTAGGGTGCAGAGAGGTGCTGGGGGGGCACGAAAGGACCCCCAGCTGCTGTGTCCTTGGGGGGAGAGTTGAGGGTAGACATCAAACCTAGTAGCTTTAGTCTAGTTTTTTCTTTTTTTGCAAACAGATTTTATTGCATTTCTCACAAGAATAAACTCTGCTTCTAGGGGGAAGCTTTGATTATAAACAGTCTCTTCATTTAAAAAAAAAAAAAAGAAAAAAAAAAAAAGAAAAAAAAATAGTAGTTGGATGTCCTGGCATAGATGTTGGTCCTGAGCATCCCGGACGGGCGCCTGGGAGGCGGCACTGGCGCCGTGTGCGTCGGAGCGGGGCTGTGCGCGGCGCCCGGGACGTCGTACCGCAGGAAATGCAAAGATGAGTAAGAAGAGGGGCGGGCGGGTGGCCCCGAACCTGGTACCTGATGGGGCTGGCGGCTCCCCTGCCCCGGGGGGTAAAGCTATCCTGGTCTCCGTAAAGTGCAGAGAGGGGCAGAGCGCCTGGCGTGGGCCCACGGCCCCTGAGAGCTATTGCTACAGGAGGAGGAGGAGGGTGTTCCTGAGTGGGAGGAAGGCCGTGGCGGGGCGGGGCCCCCGGGCAGGCCGGCG